AGCCTGGATTCTGTCCTCTACTGGGGACTTAAGAAATCTCATAAAAGAGGTACTTTAGAGTTAAATTGTTCAGTTGCCCAGTCGTATCCGACTCTCTGCGACCCCACGGACTGTAGCACCCCAGACCTCCCTCCTATCCCTCACTATCTCCCAGAGTTTGCCAAGAAGAGCCCCAAAATATAAAAAACAAATAAAGAAAGAAGAGCCCGTGTCCTCAGCCTCAGGACCTGGCAGGCCTCTGAACCCTCAGGGGGATAAAAACAATCCTGCTTCTGGCCCAAATTACAGGGTCTCCCCCCACACCCATGCTCTCCAGGGAGGTAGACGTGACCTATTCAGAGTAAGGAAGAAAAACTCAAAGGACTTACATGTGCCAAGAAGGGTCTTTTTTTCCCTTTCTGAGTCAGCAGCAGTTTGAATGCTTTTCTTAGCTCATTAGAATGGCCTTCGAGATGGGGTGGGGGAGGGGGGTTGGGGGAGCGTGTAACCTGAAAGGGGGAGCCGAAGAAGGTCCCTGGTGGGGTTGGTCTTGATTAGAGTGGTTGTCATCTGAATATGCTTGTGAGATAAGACTGCACAGAACTACACACACACACACACACACACACACACACACACACACAATGCAAAAGGCAATGAAAACTAAATAAAACCTGCAGCCCACTTAACAGTTTTGTACCAATGTCAGTTTCCTGATTTTGATATGTTCCTGAATTTATGATGATACCATTGTGGGGAGCTGGATGAAGGTTATAGAGGACTCTGCGCTATGTATTGCTACTTCTTATGATTTTAAGTGAAAGTTGCTCAGTTGTGTCAGACTCTGCGACCCCCATGTTCTATACAGTTCTATACAGCCCATGGAATTCTCCAGGCCAAAATACTGGAGTGGGTTGCCGTTCCCTTCTCCAGGGAATCTTCCCAACCCAGGGATCGAACCCAGGTCTCCCGCACTGCAAGAGGATTCTTTACCAGCTGAGCTACCAAGAAAGCCATCTTGTGAGTTTAAAATTGTTTCAAAATAAAAAGTAAAAAAAAAAAAAAAAAGGAGGGGGAAGGAGGAGGAAGAGGATGGCCCTTCAGTCACTCCCCTCAAAGCTGGGAATGAAGAGGGAAATGGGAGAAAGAGGGAAAGAAGGGAAATCCCATAAAAGCAGGGGCTTGTCTGTATCCTGAATCCCTCAGTTCCATGAAGTCCCTAATGAAACTTCTTTCTCCAACCTCACCTCCCTCAATTCCATCTTCCTCTCAGCCACTGGATATACTTTTTGAAAAACCTGACCAGGTCTCTTTCAAGCTCACCCATCATTATGAGGACTCTTTGCCCCCTTGACCTCCCCACCCCCATGGACTTGGCCGTCCGGGGATGCAGGAACACGCCTTGCCTTTTAACACTTGCTCTCATTCTCCTCGGCGGATGCCTCTGCCAGGTATACCCTTTTTCTCCTCCTTCACCAACTCGGCCTCCTCTTTCAAGTTATCCATAAGAAACCCAGATTCTGAGGCATCTCCCCTTCCACGTCCCAGGGCTCAGCTACGCGTCCCTCCTCAGGGCTCTGCTCGCATCTGACCCTGGACATCTGGGCGCCATCCACTCAGAAGAGGAGCCAAACAGGCTGGACTCAAGCATCAGGTTTGTCTGAGCCAAATGGTCTGAGGGGCTTTCGGGGGAATTCCCCTGCTTCACCCCTCAATTCACCAAGTTGTCTTGAAATGACATGTTTGTGTTTACCCCCAAGACTGAAAGCTCATTGAAGCAAGGACTGTCTTTCTTCTCTGGACCCTGGGAGCCTAGTAGAGTGCCTGCTTTGGGGTTGGTTCTCAACAAATCTGTGTTCTCATCCAGAAGACAGAACATATTCTGACCACATTTTTCTTGGAAGCAGCTATTTCACATTCAAAACCATAAGGCAGGACGAGCAGCCTTTTCCTGAGACTATACCGAGGCTACCAGAGAAATCACTGCCTCCGAAGTCAGTGGAGGCGCCCTGAAGGCAGCATCCAGGTTGAACCCAAGGGAGGCCGGGGAGGTTGAAATGCCAGGGTCAGTCATGTGGCTCCTGCCAAGACAGTTACCAGCCACACTGCCAAGGAGCGGGCTCCTCAGAGATCTGGGGACCTGAGCAGAGTGTAATCTCCCTTAACACAGAGAGAGGGAATTCCCTGGTGGTCCAGAAGTTGGGACTCCATGTTCTTACTGCTGAGGGCTCGGGTTCAATCCCTGGTCAGGGAACTAAAATCCCACAGGCTGTGCAGCTGCCCCAAGAAAAAGAAAGAGAAGAAACTCCCATAAATAGAGAAATTCATCAGATTTAGAAAGCAGCTGATGTAATAAACCATGAGAACAGCAGAAAAGCAGTAAAGGTGGAAAGCTGCACACCTCTCAAAAGCAACCTGCCCCTGCAGCTGGGCCTCAGTCTAAATACAAGGCAGCAATGGAAGCAAAAGGAGAAAAGGGTGACAGAGGAAGAGATGGTTGGATGGCATCACCCACTCAATGGACATGAATCTGAGAAAACTCCAGGAGTTCGTGCAGGACAGGGAAGGTCGGCATGCTGCAGTCCATGGGGTCAAAAAGAGTTGGACATGACTGAGCGACTGAACAGCAATGGAAGGAGACCTGAACGCACAAGGACAGGCAGGTAAGCCCAAGATGGGGTGGTGTGTAGGAGAGCCAGGATTACCAGGGCTGGCCTATCTCTCACCCTCCTCCATTAAGTAGATACCACAGCTAACTCTTCTGTGGTTTTTTCAAAGCTCCCCCTTTTTATTTTGGGTACTTCCTAAAAAGATTTTACTTTGTACTGGACGGTATGTGTGTGTTCAGTCACTCGGTTGTGCCCAATTCTTTGCGATCCCATGGACTGCGGCATACCAGTCTTCCCTGTCCTTCACTATCTCGCGGAGTTTGCTCAAATTCATGTCCACTGAAGTCTGCTTCCCTTGAAACACATCACTCAGGCTGCCCCTTCTTCCTTGAAGCCTGCGCTAGGCATCCTCTAAGACCTCACCATTTCATTTGTACAATCTTATTCTGGAGAGGAGGGCTCTCCACCAGCAGATACAGGTCTCCTGATCTCCTTCCTCCCCCCGCTCCACCCCTGCTCCTTTTAGGATGGCAGCTCTGAGCAGCTACACCCACCCGTTCATGGGAAATGGAAAGCAGTGGGAACAGGGAAGGATGCTCACATTAACTGAGGACCTGTTTTGTGCCAGACGGTTGTCACAAACCATCTCACATAGAGCAAGGAATAAAGGGCTTCACTAGCAAATGAGAAAGATAACTCCCAAAAGATCCCTTTCGGTTCCAGTTTGATCATGTCTCTCTGTCATGTCTTGTATTTTCTCAATTTAGAGTGGCCCTGTGTAGAAGTAACTCTGCCCTGTACCATTGCCTTTAGCTTGGAATCAGAAGGAGTTGGTTTCCGCATCTTGCCTGGAGCTTCTGAATGTCAGTCTCCCAGGAGTCAAAGGGATGATGTCCTGAGGTCTCTAATCGTGGGAGATGGGGAGTGCCTTAGGACAGGTCTACTTTTCAAATATATTTACATTCCGAAGTAATGAATGGGCAGTATCTGGAAATGAGTCAGGGAAAATGTTATTTTTGGTAAATGCCAATCTCCTAAAAAGCACACCTCCCTTTTCCTATCACTCCCACAACAGCTAAAGAAGAAAAGGGATGGACAGTGGACAGAGGCCAGGGAGAAGCATTCTGGGTTACTTTCCATCTTGGTTTTGTTCAGTAAGTGGAGTAACAGTAATAAGGACAAGAGTGCTTAAATAAGAGAAGTTGGTGAAAAAGCAAAGGTTTTATGAGTAGGTGCCATGTTAGAACGTGGCTTGTAAGCCTACAATTAAAAAAATTTTTTTAATCACTTTCATTTTTAAAAAATAAAGACTCTAGGACTTCCATTGTGGTCCAGCAGTTAAGAATCCACCTGTCAATGTAGGGGACACGAGTTGAATCCCTGGTCTAGGAAGATCCCACATGCCGCAGAGCAAATAAGCCTGTGAACCACAACTACTGGGCCTGTGCCCTACAGCCCGGGAGCCACAAGTACTGAGCTCACTTGCCACGACTACTGAAGCCCGGGCACCCTAGAGCCACTGAGCTGCAGCTAGAGAAGCTATCACAATGAGAAGCCCATGCACCACATGGAAGAGTAGCCCCGCTTCACCACAACTAGAGAAAGCCACACAGAGCAACAAAGACCCAGCACAGCCAGAAATAAAAATAAATGTAAAAAAACAAAAAACAAAGACCCTGGAAAACCACCGTATGAAATTTCAAACACCAGACTGTGTCTTACACCAAGGGAGTGGAGATTTGCTAAACAGTCTTCCAAGGCCAACTCCCAACAGGAAGGGAAAGACGTGCCCCCAGAAAGGGGACTTGAGCGACACCTGAGGTTCATTGCTCCCAGGAGGTCCAGAGGATCTCTGTGTGGGTCTCACTGACTCAGAGAACCTCATAGCTTAAAAATTCCAGCCCCTTCATGCTACAAACCAGACACTGTCATCTGGGAAAGTGATGGGCTATCCAAAGGTTCAGAACAAGCCAGCTGCTGGCACCTGTATGCAAGAGCATTTTCCCAGCTTAAAAAATATATTTCTTTGTTTGGCTGTACTGGGTCTCACTTTCGGCATGTGGAATCTTCAGTTGCAGTATGTGGGATCCAGTTCCCTGACCAGAGATCAGCCCTGGGCCCCCTGCACTGGGAGTGCAGAGTCTTAACCACTGGACCGCCAGGTAAGTCCCAGCATTTTCCCAAATTTAAAGCATCATTGTGAGCTGACCCATATCCCACCCTGAACAGAGGGGCTGCCATGGGCTGTCCCTCCTAAAAGAGGCCTCCTAGTGGCCTGTCCCACCCACCACAAAGTTCTCCCAAGCAACCAGAAAGAGTAGCTGAGAGCAACATTCAAACTTCACTTTTCTTTCTTTTTTTCTTTTTCTTTTTTTTTTTTTTTAGCAAAATGAAATAAATAAATAAATATACAACCCAGCGTCTTGGTGACTCACAGTTTCTAGCACAACCGTGTAAAGGCTTTGTAGAGAGCCATTAGCAGGACCATTCGGAAAGTTCTGTATTGTTTTCTTAGAGGCCCCCTCACTGCCTGAACCCACTGTGAGCTTGAAAGACTTTGCCCTGACACTCTCTGCTTCCTGCTCATCCTCCTGTTACCAGGATGTGAAGGGGGTGCGGAGGATGAGAGAGGATGAGAGAAATTTCCTGCAGCCTCGCGGCTCAGCCTGGGCTGACCCGAGCTGGAGGTCGAGGCTCTGTCCAGCGGAGCCAGGCAGGAGGAAACCTTGTTTCCTCTGAAGTCACCCAAGAGGTGGCACAGGGGGGTATGTAGGAAGTCAGCTCATTGTTGCTCAAGTCACATTTTGTTTCTTATACAGAAGGATCACAACTCTGATTATCTTAGAGCTGAGAGGGGAGGGAAATGAAGGAAAAGTTTTCTCATTGGACAAGCAGTAGCACTGCCTGAAGAGTCGCCAGCAGCTCAATAAGGGCACGTGATGCTCTCAGCCCTGGAGCCAGGACCCAGGCTCCCTGAGTGCATTGCCCTCCATGACCAAAGGCCAGTGGGTACCCTGCTCAGCTTTATGCCAAAAACAAGCAGGAACCAAAAAAAAAGTCTGGTTTTGAAAGCTGCTTCTCTATAGTTCAAACAGGACCATTCACAAGCTTGGGAGGGGGCCCAGGGAAGGAAGACATTTGGGAACCATTGTTAGCTGGAGAAAAAAACACTCACACTGTAAACATGTATAAACGCCTGGGTAACTTAGTTGCCCAAGATCCTGTTGAGAACTTTTACTCATTACTCTTGTTATTGTTACTATCAGAGACATTCCCTCCTACACATCCTTCCGTTCTCCTGCCAGGAGACATGTCTTGATCAAAAGCAAAGAGTATTCACTGTCCCCTTCCAATTACGAAGGATGGGGCGGGATGGGGTGAGGGGGGAAGTCCACTGTCAGAGCAGTTTTCCACCATTAGTAAGAAATGAGGATTTTTACAGTCATCAGCCAAGCAAATATGTTTAATCCAAATAGTAACTTCTGAAAAGGAGATACAAGCCCCATGATTTAGAAAACTATGCAGAGCAGTTTAGGAATACCTTTCAGAAAGTGATATTGACAGCATGTTTTCCATCAAACCCACAGAGACAAGATACCATCACAGCCAGGGACAGAAGGGTCTCAGGTAGGAATTTGCACTAAAGAAGTCTTAATATAAATAAGCAATCTGAAGTGGACCTGCATTTTTCCCTCCATTAAATCACAGCTTAGTCCAAACTTATTTTGCCAACAACGAACATCTGAGATCGAATATAGAAGTTCATCCCTCAAGGTCCAGATCCAAATGCCACTTCCTCCTGGAGGCCCTCCTGGGTTCCCCCACCAAAAAAAAAAAAGTCCTTTCTTTATGATCCCACAACACCTTGCTCCTACCTCTACTCATTTCCTCTGCTTTGTATGAAAGTTATTTGAACACATAACATCTCCTTCCCTAAATTGTAAGTGCTTTAGAAAACAGAGGTCATCTTAAGGACTTTGGAGTCACATGAAATTAAATCCCTGCTCTGCTTGGTATGAGTCCTGAATCCTTAAGCAAATTCTTTAACCCATCTAAGGCTCAGTTTCATTATCTGTAAAGGGACATCATAATATTACCTACCTCTTCCTTTTTTTTTTTTTCCAACAAATGTGTATGTGGCAGACACAATTTTAGGTACTTAAGACAAAACAGCCAACAAGGGGCAAAGGATGTATCCACATAGAGCCCTCATTGGAGAGGAATTATTATGAGCAGAAGTAAGAGAAGACACAGAGAGTGTTTTGCCTGGCATATAACAAGCACTAAAGAAATGTTCACTTAATGACCTATTAAGTCAAATAATCAGTGAATGAGTGAGTGATTAAGAACCATGAACATCACGCTCCCAATGCATGGTACCCGGGTTGAATCCCTGGTCAGAGAACCAGTTTCTGAATGCTGCAATTAAGACCCTGCGCAGCCAAATAAGTTAATTCGTTTTTTAAAAAAAGATCAGAAGGGAATTACGGAGGCAATTAAAAAAAAAAAAGAGCCATGGACAAGTCTTCCTTTATTTGATAAGTTCTTTGAAAATATTTATCCACTTCCTTCTATCCTAAGGAAATAACCTTTTTTGGAGGGAATTACTATTCACTTCCTAAAGACTAGAAATTCAAAAACTAAAGATGATATTCTGAGATTTTAATGTAAAAATCACATCCAAACTTAGGAAAGAAATACTTGTAAAGCAGTCCTTGACTGTAGGTAGAAATCAACTCTTTGACCAGGAAGTCCAGGGTCTTAGTGAGAAATGAAAGTGTAGAAGTGTTAGCGTGTCCGACTCTTTGGGATACCATGGACTGTAGCCCATCAGGCTCCTCTGTCCTTGGAATTCTCCAGGCAAGAATACTGGAGTGGGTTGCCATTCCCTTCTCCAAGGGATCTTCCTGACCCAGGGATCGAACCTAGATCTCCTGCCTTACAGGCAGATCCTTTACCATCTGAAGCCCAAATAGCGCAGAAACAATGCACAGGACTTCTGAGCTAGTTTTTTTCTGAGGTGAGCACTGGGACCAACTTATTAGAACTTGCTCTTCCATCTCTCATGCAAGAGAAAAGACGCAGGGCCCTTGTGATATTGCCACCCCACCTTTTCCCACTGAGGGACGCCGCCTATCTCCATCATCAGGACCATCAATCAAAGGTTCCCTCTTTCACTGAATAAACGGTGAGGGTTTGGAGAGCTGCCTCCCTTTCCTCCGACCCACCTCCTTTCCCGGTGCCAACTCCCATCTGGAGGAGACTTAAAGGAATTGTTTGTGTAGGGCGTGGCTCAGCCTCTCGCTCAGCCCCTGCGGCCACCCCCTCATCCCCTGAGCGCCACCGTCTAATTCCCAGCAGCTGGCTTTGTTGCCACAACAAATGGGAACTCTTTCTTAATGTGGCCCAGAGGTGTCTGTAGGCAGCCAGCCCTGGGACACCACTGGCCACAGCTGGCTAGATGTGGCTTTAGAAACATGTTTGTGCCCCAGCGTGACTAATACTTACCTACCGGCTGGCTGGCATGAGACCTCCTACTCACCTGGCACTTGGAATATAATCCTCTGGCTTCCCAGCTACTGGCAAACTCTTTGACGGGAGAGGCCAGAGGATGTGGGTTGGGTGGGACGGGCAGGCAGGGTCCCCTGAAACTGCTGGACTCAGAGACACTGAGGTACATTCTCCCCTGGAGAGTTTAGGTCCGCTCAGCTGATTGGGAGCTTACAGGTGGTCGGAGCACAAAGCAGGGAATACATACAAAGTCCTTTAACTATTGCTGACCAAATGTCTGTTTACAAAATAACATCACGGGTAAATACAGAATGCTGGCTCAGAAAGTAGTCAAGAACTTGAAATGATAGGCAGCAAAACACAGGCTTTGGGGTTGAAAGAACTGGTAAATAAACAAGTGAGTGAGTGAGAACAAGACTGATAAGGAGACACAGAGGAGCAGGGGAAGCAAACAGCCTTGTATTCTAGGAATTTACCCAACAGGTACCCTCTGTACAGGTACATGACTAACGACCAGATTAAACAAATTGCAGTACATCTCTGTTATTGAGTACAGCACCATGTGGCTCTTAAAAGAATGAAACATCTATACACATATGCATGTGAAAATGTCTACAATCTACTTTGTGTGAAGAAGACTAACACTATGAACAGCACGCTACTATCTGTGTGTGTAAAGATTTTTAAATATATGTTTGTAAACGCATGGACTTTCTCTGGAATGACACAGTATAAACAGTCACAGTGGTTGTGTGTGGAAGGAGAAAAAGATGGCTGGGCCCAGAGGTAGGTGGAGACTTCTTTGTCACTTCAATCCTTTTTTGTATCTTTTTAATTTTACATACATTATCTATTCCAAAAAGTTAGTACCTTTTTATTAATAAAAAATGAAATTAAAAGCATAAGGTAGCTTTATTAAGATATCTATAGAAATAAACATATGAGAAAAGTCACACAAAATATATACAGTATAAACTATTTATGTTTTAAAAAATACTCAGCATGCGTGTGCATCTATAAAAATACTCCGTATGTGTGTATATGTGAAGACTTTTTTTTAAAAAGTCATGGAAGGGGAATGGTAAGAGGCCTTCACTTTTTATTCTGTATATTTTTATATTATTTAAAAGTTTTATTACCTGTGATTGCTTAGTAAGTAAATATATAAATTTAAAAAGTGTAATAGCACTATACCCATGAATCATTTATCATCTCTAAGATCTAGTGTTAGCTTTACAAGGGACAACATAGTGTATACATTTTGCAACCATTTGAGTGGGAAATTTGACACAAATATGCAGGGAGTCTCTGAAAGGCTCTGTGTGGACCTGGCACAATGGTTCCCCCTGGGGAGGGAAAATGAGAGGCTAAGGGACCCATCAATGGGGAAATTTCCTTCCATGATATATAATTTGCATATTTTGCAATCCTGTGCCTCATGTTGTTTTCAGTCGCTCAGTCGTGTCCAGCTCTTTGTGATCCCACGGACTACAGCACACCAGTCTTCCCTGTCCTTCATCATCTCCCGAAGCTTGCTCAAACTCATGTCCATTGAGGCGGTGATGCCATCCAGCCATTTCATCCTCTGTCATCCCCTTCTTCTCCTGCCTTCAGTCTTTCCCAGCATCCGGGCCTTTTCTGAGTCAGCCGTTCACATCAGGTGGCAAAGTATTGGAGTTTCACCTTAAGCATCAGTCCTTCCAAAGAATATTCAGGGCTGAATTCCTTTAGGATTGACTGGTTTCATCTCCTTGCTGTCCAAGGGACAGACTCTCACGAATCTTCTCTAACACCACAGTTCAAAAGCATCAATTCTTTGGCATTCACCCTTCTTTATGGTCCAACTCTCACATCCATACATGACTACTGGAAAAACCATAGCTTTGACTAGATGGACCTTTGCAGGCAAAGAAATGTCTCTGCTTTTTAATATGCTATCTAGGTTTGCCATAGCTTTTCTTCCAAGGAGCAAATGTCTTTTAATTTTGTGGCTGCAGTTACCGTCTGCTGTGATTTGAGAGCCCAAGAAAATAGTCTGTCACTATTTCCATTGTTTCCCCA